AAGCAGCAGAGCAGTTCATTGAAAGCTGACTGTTAAAGAGTTCTTCTTCTTCCTTGTTCTCCTGTAAATATCAGCTCCTGAGGTGGAGTGACAGCTCTCACCAGTCATCTCTCTTTTCCTAAATATTCTCACAGGAGAATATCCAAAATCTTACTCAATTACATGCATAGAAAGCATATGAAACAGCAGGTAAAATTCTTTGTTTATAAAATGGGAAATAAGCCCTCCTATTTCCAGTAGACCTTATATAGCAGTTTCTGGGGTAAAATACTGTCTCATCCCACTGTATGGACCTGGAATTCTGAAGTCAAATGTGCCACCGCTTCTGGTTGTGCTGTATGTGCAGAAAAATACCTTATCACTTATTGCAAGATAAAAGATATTGTTCCTGCCTAAATTCACAAGTTTTAACTTACGTTTTTCAATAAAATAGTTATGTCCTCTCCCAAACTAGAGCAGTGTGGTCAGGTGACTTGTGTGTGTCATGCAATGACAGCTACAATTAAATTGATGGAAAATCAATTTCTGTGTATGACATGTACAGTCATTATGTGTATCAATAAAGTATATAAATGGTTGATTGAAGTTGCAAAGTGCAATTCTCAAATGTTAGAAAACATAGAAATCATTGGTGTGACCTACACTGAATCACCTTATGGTATGATCTTGTTAGTATCCTTTGCCTCCAGAAAATTGCAAAATGTTGTTTCTGTTGCCACTGTTAAATATGTGTCACAGTTCTAGTAACTGATTTTGCAGATTGTTTGCAAGGTAAAGCACAGAGATGTATTTGAGACAGAAACTTCAAGAAAGTCCAAAATTTTTTAGGCTGTGGACATTGCTCAGGGCTGACATGTCATCTTCTCTGAGGTGATCCAGGAGATTGCAGGTCAAGGAGAGTTTGTGTTCATGAGGCTGGTCTCTACATAGGAAGTGCCTCGAGCCTTCTCAATAACTGATGACCTCTGATACAGAGAGGCAAAAAAGGATTTGCTGAAAATCTGTATACTAAAACACAGTTAGAGGACTATATCTAAAATGCGTATTTCTACGATTCACACTGAGCAAAGCAAATTTTCTTCTATTTGTTCTGCACCTCTTCTTCCTGTAAATATTCTTCAATATTTTGTATAATACTGAAGATATAAAAGTGGAGTTCTGTTCTTAGAAGTAGGTAGAAAGAAGCTGTCTGTTGGATGGCTGAGATTCAATGTTCATCCAATACACTCCTAATTTAAGATTTTTTAAAAATTATCTAGAAATTAATTTTTGTTTCATTTTAATCACATGTTGGAAAACACTAGCAAAATATTTGGTTTGGTTAACACTGCTTCCACAGTCCATATGCAATTTTACTGCTGATCAGGTTCTACTGACTGAAGTATTTAATTATTCAGCAGTTTTGAAACCTCCCTCCATATCTAAAAGGCTGACTCAATTTACATATGAAGCTTTATAAAACTGCCCTTGAAAATCTTGTCTCTTGGAGCTTTAAAACTCAAGTGAAAATTGTTTTAGAGCTTTTGCAGGATACATAGTACTTCCATTTTTGGTAGAATATAGTTTTTCATAACATTTGGCAATTCAGGTTCCTTTATTGGCTGAACTGTGGAATCAAAATTCATGCATTCATATGTTTAAAAAAATCCTTACAGGATCATTGCACTTTTGGCAATTAAATTGTAGCTTGACATAGTTCTCTTTTCTGGAATTAGTGACTGTGCATGACTATTATCTCTTTTTAATAGAGATAAAATTTGATTAAGTTGAAGGAGATTTGGAGGCACTTGCATTTTTCAGAGAGATACTCACTCTTATTTGATCCAAGAAAATGAATAATAAAATCACTATGTTGCTTGTCCATCTAGGGGTAAGGTGAAGAGTTAGTAGTAATTTCTATAAATCTCTGATGAGTAGGATGCTTATACAGATTCAAAGACCTTTCTGTCTGTGATCATAAAAACTGCTGATGGGATGCAGAAGGAATGCATACTCTTACTGACTTTTTTTCACATCTGGTCTCTACAAATCCAATCTAGGCTTACTATGGCTGGTTGGTTAGTTGTTTTTTTTTTTTTAAATCCTGAAATAAAAATGTAAAAATAAATTTGTGTGGGTCATCTCCTCCAAACTGGTTATGTTCAACTTTGCTCAATGCACCACTTTTTTTTCAAGTGTAAGAAAAGCCAGTGGGAAGCTTGCAGACAAATGAAAAAAAAAAATGTTCTTATTTAGAATCTAGTTGATTTGTAAATATCTAAGTGTGCTTAAATTTGCCACCTTCCCTCTGTTATGTCACATTCTCATCACATCCTTGTTTTAGTTAACAAGGCAGGCCTCGAATAAGTAAAAAGCAAAACAAAAAAAAATCCTTTCTGATCTTCCAGTAATCTATGCCATGAAGACTTAAGGCAAAGGTACCCTGTTTGTGTTTATTAACCCTTAATGGATTCTTTTCTCCATCAGGTTTGGCCTACAGCTTTCTAACATATACCAACTTCTAATGTATTCACATGTTCAGGTTTGCTTCTGCACGGTGTGAAAAAGAAACTCGTCTGTCCTGAACGTTGCATGGGGTAGTTTCATTTGATACTGTCTTACACTAGAAGAGAAGAGTGAGCATTCGTACCTAATTCATCTTCTTGCTACTCCTGATTTTGGAGTCTTGTATCTGGTTGTCAATTTAGCTGTTTCTCACACCAAACTTGTTTCACACTTCTGATCATCTTACTTGTCTTTCTCTTATCCCTTTTTAATTTCTTTTATCTCTCTTTTTAAAATGGGAAGAAAAGAACTGCACAGTGTACATTGTAGTGTGCCTCATGAGTTAATAAATTCTGTGATTTATAGAGCTGCTCTGTCCGCCTTTCCTCTCCTAGTAATTTCTAGCCTTCTATTTACTTTCTAAACTAACTTATCTGATGGTTTTATAGTATTATTATAACCCTAGGATCCTGTTTCTGAATTATGTCTGTTCTGAGTCCATCTATTCATGAGTATGTTGAACAGTACAGGCTCCAAGGATGCTTTTAACTCTTCAGAAGGAAATTGCTAGATGAGTAGCTGTAGAATTTGGGATGTGAGAAAGTTAACAAATGTTTTAGTGTGTGTGAACCATGTGGGTCTGTTCACATGATTATATCTGCATGTTTCATAGGGAAATTTTAATTCAACAAAATTACATTGATATAAAGCATACAACAAAAATATCTGTTACAGATAGAGCATGCATGTTATTGAGTATTGCAATGAAGTAAGCTACCAATGAGATTAACTATAAAATAACATTTTCTCAAAATAAATCTTGCATTTTTTTCTTAATAGGAAGAATCTTCCCCTCCTCTCCTAAAAAGAAACAGTTTAGTGGTGGGAAAACAATGCTATTGCTGCATGAAAAATTGGAGCAGCAATGCACTTGAGACTTTTGGCTTACAACTAGTTTAACAAATGGCAAATGTAGAAAGGTTAAGCAGTAGGAGTGATGAAAGATTTATTGACCTCGCTTTATCTGGAAAGATTAACAGAAAAGAATCAGGAGGCCTACTAGATTTTGAATGAATTAGACTTAAAGTGTTTAATCTTCAAGTACTAGTTCAGTGAAAGTATCACCATATTCAAAGAGGCAAACAGATCCAAAGGTTCTTTCTGTTCATTTGAGATTGGGAAATAACACCTGCTGATATGATCCAACACTTAGATGAAGGAATATTGGATGTGAGATGAAGATGCTGCTAACAAAGACTGGGAATCTAAAGGTTTAAATATTTGTGGTGTGAAAAATCTGAGCAAAGATTGTGTTTCCCACTCTCCCACCCATCAGAAAGACCTCTATTGATCTCTTGAAAGTGGCAGCAGTTCTGAAAGCTGTGGGGTTTTGTTTGTTTGTTTGTTTTTAAATTGTTCTCTCTTCTCTGTTTCTCGAATAGTTTGAAACTGGGACTAGTGCTGCTTTTCCATCTTGCATGAGAACTCCAGAACAAGCTCCATCATAAGCTGCCTCTCCTCACAGCTCAATTCCTTGTGTGCTTTCCTTTTTACTTGCTTGTCCCTCACCCCCATTTGCTGATTGATTTAAGTTTTTAACTCAGCCTCAAAATCCCTGCGCCTCCCCCACTCAGAGCCAGACTTAATCTTCCCTTTATGGCTGGAGTCCGCATGGGTTTTATCATTATGTTTTTCTTGTAACCTTTCCACAAAGGGAGATTTTGTTCCACTGTAAGGTCTCATGTTGTTGTTCTAATTGGTATGGCTAACTTGATAATATCCCAAGGTTCAGGGTCATACAATGCTAAGCACATTTCAGAAATGTGCAGTAATGACAAAGACAGTTTCTGTTGCAGTTATTACAGCTTTTTGACTGCAGGTCTCCCACATTCGATTCAGAGGTTGCAATTATCTTTCCTTTTCTTGCTTCTGTTTATCTACTTGTATGGCATTCTTTATTGCTGTATAAGCTCATCTTTTAATGGGAACTTTTTGGGATGTTTTTTATGTAATTATGAAGATCACAGGCTCAGTAATAAGATGATGTTTAATTAAAATAATTGGTGAACTTGAGCAAAACTTTCTTGGATAGTTATTGAGAGCTACTTCTGTGATCCATCTGGCCCACTCAGATCATTAAGTTATCATTGATCATTTATAGAATAGTTGTCTGCTAGAGGCTGGGAAGTACTTTGAAGTTTGTGCTGTAGAGAGATATTTTATTTATTCCCAATTACTGACTGCCTTTTGTGGGGCTAAGACAGCTATACACTGTCACTAGTCAGATATGAATTTTAGGAAGGAGTGCACTATTCCTGACACTATACTTTTGAAAAATAGTTTTTCTCTCCAACTACCCATGTAAGATTCCATATATAGGAAGAAGTCTTCAGAAAATCAACCAAGATTTAATGCTACCTGGGTCTGTCAACAGCAGCCGCCGATTGGCTGAAGCCATGTGTATGTAATGCATACATTCAAGGAAAGGAGTTCATTATATTCTTGTGTGTCTCTAGGAATCCGGAAAGACCGTAGAGGTGGGCGAATGATGAAACAAAAACGTCAAAGAGAGGAGCAGGATTCCAGGAATGGGGAGGCTTCTTCTACAGAGCTACGAGCTCCCACCCTTTGGACAAGTCCGCTGGTGGTTAAACATAACAAGAAGAACAGTCCAGCCCTGTCCCTGACGGCAGAACAGATGGTCAGTGCCTTGCTGGAAGCTGAGCCACCCATAGTTTATTCTGAATATGACCCAAATAGACCATTCAATGAAGCCTCTATGATGACCCTGTTGACCAACCTTGCAGACAGAGAATTAGTGCACATGATCAACTGGGCAAAGAGAGTTCCAGGTAAGGAAAAAAAGCCCCAGTGGACTATGAAAGCCTCTACATGACAAACCAATAGTAAAAAATACATCCTGGTTTTCATACTATATATTCTAATTTCATGCAAATTGTTCACCTAAGTATAAATACATTAAAAACCCAAAAATTTTAGGTTATATTGGTTGATAAAAAACTATAGTGCAATGTAAGTGACTTTTGAAGAAAGATCTATTCAAGAAAAGATATTTCCTCACACTATGGAATATTGGACAGTTTTTTGATTGCAAAGCTTTTTTTTTTTTTTCATAAATCCAGCTAAATTAAAGATAAAAACAAATTACTGAAAGCCAAATCTAATCAACTTGATCTCATCAAATTATGTTAGTTATTTAGATCTCTTTTGATAAAAGGGTTACTCTTATGTCTGTAATGTAAGTCATAATTATGAGCCCATAATTATTAGTATTATTTATTTAATTGCCAGTTTATCTTTTTGACAATAAATTACAGATCTTTCATGAGTTTTGGGTCTGAAAAACAGAGCCAGAATAGCAATTTTTTAATGAATTTTTTTTCTTACTGGAACTACATGTTTTTATCTTTATAATTTTGATGCATTATGGTTGCTGAGTTATGGCCCCTCTTTTCTGGAATGGAATTGCAGAATTGTGGGAAATACGTAACATTTTTGGTATGTTGCACATTCATTCATGTGGTTTAATTAATTTGTATCATTTACATGTATTAAATGAGAGAGTAGTTTTGTAATTGAAGTTCATAATCTTTTAAAATTTCAGTCTACAAGACTACTTCTCATAAGTTAACATTTAAATGTTTATTAGAAATCTATCACACATGGTGTACTTTTAGCTTTGTATTAATACTGGCATACATAGTAATTCTTACTTTATAATTCACTGGGATTCTGATCTCTTAAATTTTTACTGTAAACATTTATTTAATTAAAATTATGTAGCTGCTTTATGAAGGCATATTAGAGAACCCTACCACAGCTCTCACTCAAATAGTGTGTTACCTTAACAACATTACACCCGGGTTATGCCATTTTTCTGTTTTCCTTCATTTAAACTTGGCAAGACTCTTCCTGGTAAATCAATAACCCATAAAATCTGAGTCTTTTCCAGTCCTCATGGGTTCCCTTTTAACCACTTTTCACATGTCACTTTGTGGGCTCCAGCTATGATCAATGAGAGTCTGTGTGTGTTTCATTTCTCATCGTATCTTATAAGAAATCACCTGAGAATTTTATTCTTGACAAAGTCACAGTGGTTAAGGCCTGATCCATAGTCTGTTCAAGTCAAGGGCGGATTCTCCTGTTAATTTAGTTATGCTTTAGATCATGCCTTTACAAAATGCTTTTGAAAAATTAACATATGTCCATAGTGTTAAAGCTATTTACTATCAAAACAGATAAATTCAAATGACTTTTCTACTGATTTTAGAGATATAATTTGTCTAAGTCTGTTAAAATCCATTAATTTACATTCAACATGAATATACCATATTTTAAATTCATTATGTTGTCCAACTGGAAATATTTGTCTTCTATGACATTTGACTTTGATAGCTAATATAATTAACAAAAATGTGTTTAGGTACAAAGTAACACTGTTAGGGAACTCAGATCTGTTTGTTATTCAGAAGTCTCTCTAAAACCCCTTGTCACAAGATGACTGCATCTGAAGATCAAAAATTTGCCTGGTTTAGCAAATATATCCCTTAATTCCTAAGCAAGTTTCTGAAATTGGAAAATCAAATGTGTAAGTTTATCAACTCTTTGTGTATATTCAGTGTTACATTAAAAAAATGGGCCTGTTAATTGCCAAATGACTCTATGTATGTGCATAATAAGTACTCTAACAGGTGAGGTTTGATATAAAACTGGTGAACTCTGGTTTAAAAAAAATAAATCATTTCCCAGTCATAATTTGATCTGTTAGGTACTATACAAACAGTCATCCAAAGGACAGTCATAAAGCAGGAGAGAGCGAATACGAATGGTTTGGAGATTCTGAAAGTGCTAGACACCTTGCTAGTTCTTGGTGTTGTGGCTTGGAGGACCAAAAGCATGACCAAAAGCAGAAAACAAAGTGTTTTAAAAAGTTGATTTAAAAGAATTCAATTGTTTATTTACCTCTAAAATTGGGTCCTCTGGAGTAGGAATTTTGGAGCTAGGTGCTTAAATCTTTTTTTCGGATCTCTCATTTGATCCATAGAAAAGGTCAAGTATTCTTAGCTGCCGATACTAAATTTTAGAAGTGTTGATCACCTTTCAAAGATAGGGCCTTTGCTTGGACTGTTTGCCTAAGTTTCCTTCTGCTGGAATGTACTGGCAATAAATGCACATTAAGACAAATGTATCTGGACATATAAGTTGTATTTTCACTTCCACAGTATGTTGCCCTTGAATACTCCATTATTACTAGGAGTTATGCAATACTGCTTAATTAGAGAAGACTTTAATGTACTTATGCATAAACAGAGGAGCTGAATAGCATTTTTTTCTGTTAGGTGAAGTATTTAATACAACAGCATTGTGGGATTCCACTCAGTTATTTTCTCGACTAATTTACTAAGGTTTCAAGCTTCAGAATCAAGGGTAAAAACATCTTTTTCTAAAAAGCGAATGTGCTTTTTACCAGGAGAAAAAAAAAAGCAGTTAGACAACAGCCTCTCCTATGCACACCTCTCAAGCCTTGGAAGCATTGCACAAGTTCATTTAGCTAAATGCAGGCACTTAACTGCAGGAAAGCAAGGAGCAAAGTAAATACGAGCAGCTGGGTTGAAAGCATATTTGTTGAGGAAGCAAGAAATTGATATTAACAGAGCAGAAATGCAATTAAGATAGAGCTTACTAATAAGTGTAAGGACTTTGGGGGACATGTTTGGAGTTCATTTTGGTGCATAGGCTTTAAAGAAGAGAGAGTGTGTCAAAGTAATTAATAAAGATATTGTTTTGGTCAGGCAGTCCTTCTGAGGATGTAAACAGGTGAACATGGAAGAAGAAAAAGGTAACTTTGTACTCCTACAAAAAGGAGTAATGAAAATGAATTTATGATGGACTGTGTAGCATAATGTAGGCAGAGATCTGTTATAAAGACATGCTGAGGACAATCTCCAAGATGAGGTATCTTTGCGGACATGCTCTGAATGGGAAGGTGAGAAGTGGTCTAAATCTTCCTTGCAACTTGTTCAGTATTAGTTCAAACTTGCTTAAATTGACTCTGCAGGCTTGGTGGTGTTAATAAATTGCTGGGGAAAAGAGAATTTGTGGCAGTTTCTTGTGCATAACCTTAAAATGTGATCTTCAGTATTTAAGTATAACATGATTGCTAACTGAGGTCATAACAGAGTTCTGCCATGACAACGCAATTCATATTATGCCAAATGCATAAAAGCTTGTTTTAATTTTCCTTTGAAACCTTGGCCACTGATACAGTTGGGTTTGCCAGATTACATGAACAAAAATCTTGTACAGTGTCCTATGACATATAAAAATTTCAGGATGCCACATGGGAATTGCTCTTTACATGGCCTAATGGGGATTTTGACTTTAATCTTCCCCGATGGCTTCAGTAAGAAGTTTTCCAATCACCCCAGCCAGCTGGAATAGCAGGCAGCTGCACATAAGCCAGGTGCAAACAGATTGTGACCGGCTAGATTTTACACACACATGTAAATTGAGCTTTTTACCATTTAACTGGGGCAAATCACTAAAAATCACATGTAGGCAAGGTGCCAGTGTAGATGAATAGATGTTCTGCTCATTTTTGAATCATGTATTCCTGAAAGATACAGCTTTCTGTTTTCTTCTTTGTTTACATAACATCTTGGGGATATAGATATAGATATAGACCTTCAGTCTCACCGAATGAGGTTTTTTTAGTTTAGGAAATTTTCATGATGGTCTTTGATGTAACGCAAAACTATTACTTTGTTTTTCTACAGAAATGCTGGTATATCAAAGGAATTAACTTATTGTATTTCATTATTCACTTACTATGCATACCATTTAACATCTATATTTGGAGTACTGTATTCTCTAAAAGAAGCAGGTATTTTCAATGTAATGGTCAATTTTTTTTTTTTTTTTGCAGTAGCTCTTGAGATGGTAAGAAGCATTACTAGCTTATACAGTGAGCTCATGGTAAAGACTGTAGCTTTAGAGAAATTTTGTTGCAAGAGTGAAAATTTGGCACTGCTGCTATAATGTTGTATAACTATTTACTACAAGTACAGTAACTGTACAACTTAATAGCTCTAAAATGGTACACTGGGCATACAAGCTTTGAAGTTTTGAGATGATTCACGGTGCTGTACTTATTTTATGGCTTCATGAACCGAGGAGATAAACATTGTGGCACTGATTTTTTTTTTTTTTTTATTTCAAAGCCACAGAAGTTGCTATTTTCTAAAGATATTGTTTTCCTATTTGACCTTCTAAACTGCTCTGTTTGTTAAATTAGGAACAGTGTGTAAAGAGGCCAACAATAGCCACAATTTTACACTGCACTTCAGCGATACCAAGCCTTGGAATACAAAAACAAAAAAAAAGTCAGCTTGCAGTGGAAGGAAAGAAGTCTTATAGAAGAGTGGTGTATGTTAATAAACCTCTAGGTGCGGGACAGCTTACAAGAGCTTCTAAGTGTAGTGATCCTTCTGGCAATAATTTACACTTAGCTCAAAAAAAGGAATGGTGTGCAATTCCTGTAGTCATTTTTAATAAACCTTCCAAAATATCTCCTTTATAGTCTCTTCTCCTCTGACTAACGGGCTTGCTGTGGAAATTTGTAAAACGTTATTTAAAAACCCCACCCCTCTGCCTATCTCTTTAATCTGCTGAAGTGATATTCTAACTGCTCCTTTGACTTCAAAAGGGAAAAACAGAGGAAGCAAATAGATCTGTAAGCAAAAAAGAAATGATAACAAGCATCTGGATCTTCCTTTGTGGCTGCTTTTTACTAATTTAATTTCTGTGAAGTTTCAATTCATTACCATGAATG